TGAAAGGTGCAGTGTGTGTGTCTGTGTGAAGGGTGCAGTGTGTGAGTGCAGTGTGTGTGCATTAAGGGTGCAGTGTGTGAGGAGTACAGTGTGTGAAGGGTGTAGTTAGTGCGTGTGTGTGTGGTGTGCAGTGTAGGGAAGAGGAGTGCAGTGTGTGTGTGAAGGCTGCAGTGTGTGTATGATGGCTGCAGTGTGTGTGTGTGTGTGTGTGTGAAAGGTGCAGTGTGTGTATGTGTCTGTGTGAAGAGTTCAGTGTGTGAGTGCAGTTTGTGTATATGTGAAGGGTGCAGTGTGTGAGGAGTGCAGTATATGTCTGTGTTTGGTGTGCGGTTGTAATGAGCGCAGTGTGTGTGTGTGTGTATGTGTGAGGGGTGCAGTGTGAGGCTGTGTGTGAGAGGTGCATGTGTGTGTGTGTGAGGGGTGCAGTGTGTATGTAAGGTCCTGTGTGTATGAAAGGTGCTGTGTATATGTGTGTGTCTGTGTGAAGGGTGCAGTGTGTATGAAAGGTGCGATGTGTATGTGTGTCTGTGTGAAGGGTCAATGTGTATGAAAGCTGCTGTGTGTATGTGTGTGTCTGTATGAAAGATGCAGTGTGTATGAAATGTGCTGTGTGTATGTGTGTGTCTAAATAGGGGATGTAGTATGTGCAGGGGTGATAGGGGTTGTAGTGGGTAATAGGGTTTGTAGTATATGTAGGGAGTAATAGGAGTTGCAGTGGATGTGTAAGCTGTGATAGGGGTTGTAGTGGGTTATGGGGGTTGTAGCATGTGTTTGGGTAATAGGGGTTGTAGTGTCTGTATGGGGGGATAGGAGCTGTAGAGTGTGCTGGGGGTGATAGGGGTTGTAGTGTGTAGGGGTTGATAGGGGTTGTAGTATGTGTAGGGGTGATTTCAGTTGTAGAGTGTGTAGGGGTTTATAGTGGTTGCAGTATGTGTAGGGGGTGATAGGGGTTGTAGTGTGTAGGTGTTGAAAAGGGTTGTTGTATGTTGTTGTAGTGTGTAAGGGTTGTAGTATGTGTAGGGAGTGATAGGAGTTGTAGAGTGTGCTGGGGGTGATAGGGGATGTAGTGTGTGTTGGGGGCTTGGTGAATAAAGGGGAATGGATGGATAGAAGCTGTTTGGGCAGCTAATATACCTAAAAACATTTTTAATAATAATTTAAAAAAAAGTTAAATAATGCATCCCCACTCCCTAAACCTTACCTTTGTCCAGGAAGGGGGTAATTCTTACCCACGGTGGTGCAGACAGTCCAACCTCCATCTCGCCATGCAAGTGTCCAGAGGAGCTCCCTCCCTGGTCAGCCATGGAATTGCGGGCAGGCTGCCTGAAACACTGATAAAGCAGCTCCGCACAGGACTGCTCTGATCAGTTACAGGCAGGTTGCACGGAGTGCTCAACTCAGGGCAGAGGCTCTGCTCCTGGAGCCTCTGCCGATTTTTTTCTTCCAGCCAAAAGTCACAGACTGCACTAGACAGGCACAGTGATAGAGGCAGCCTAGTGGGTCTTTGATAAGGCCTCTGGGCTGTCTCCCGGTGTGCTACAAAGGTCTGCTGACTGTGAATATAGCATGGCCGACCATGGGGGGAAGCTTCTGTAACAGCAGGGGCCCGCAGAAGTTCAAGCGGGCCCCTTACTGAGTACAGGCTGGCTGGGCAGCTTGCTGAACTCCCCAGCTGTTATTACATTCTGCACCACAGACGGGCCCCCAAGAGCATCGGGCCCTCGGCCCATGACCGATATGCCCTAGTGCTCAGTCCGCCCCTGCCACCACTCTCAGCACCTACCCAGACACTTAAATCAGTGGGCAGAAAACAAATAAAATGGCGCGATCGCGGCAATGGCGACCGCAACGTGTAAGCAAAGGGAGCAAGTCTAAGGGCTAGCTGTGACAGCCCAGACCTGAAGAGCCCAGGATGAGCAGGAAAAACCAGAGGAAGGGTGGGAGAAGAAAGATAAACAATGTACAAGGGTGGAAGGGAAGGGTACACACAGGGCCGGTGCTTGGATTTTTAGGTACATAGGCGAAGATGCATTTTTCCGCCCCCCCCCCCAAAATCTTCACCTATGTGCCTCTTAACCAGCCCCTCTCCCCTCCCCGACCATTAGTGGTCCCTTCCGTTCCCTGTCCCTTAGTGTTCTTCTCCCCTCCCCCCTTTCCCCCTCCCCCCTTTTTTCCCTGTCTCTTGGTGTTTCTCTCCCATTCCCTCCCTGTCCCTTGGTGCGCCCCCCACCCCTTTAGTGGTCACACTTCCTGGTGTGTGCCTCCTACCTCTATTGTTGCATTGCCGAGCGGAGCAGATCCCCTAAAGGAGCTTCAGTTTTCTGTACCCGGACGGACTGACAGGGAGTGCTCTCTCTGTGAGCACCTCCTGTCAGTCTGGCCAGGTACAGGAAACAGAAGTCCTGTACCGCGCTCTGCTCCGCTACACTCTGTACACACTGACAGTCACACACTCAATGACAAACACACAGACGTCACTGACAGACACAGACTCATTGATCTGACACACACTCATTCATTGACACTGACAGACCCACACTGATTGACACTCATTGACAGACACACTGATAGTCACACACAGACTCAATGACAAACATACTCTCACTGATTTGACAGACACACACTCATACACTGACAAACACACTCATCATACACTGACAGACACATACACTCACATGCACACACAATCATACAATCACTCACAGACACACAGACAGTCACTCACTCACAAACACACACTGTCACTCACAGACACACACCGAAGCACACAGTCACTCACAGACACACACACACACTGTCACTCACAGACACACGCTCAGTCACTCAGACACACACACTCATACAATCACTCACACACACACACACACACACACTCAGTCACTCAGACACACATGCTGTCACTCACAGACACACATGCTGTCACTCACAGACACACATGCTGTCACTCACAGACACACGCTCAGTCACTTAGACACACACACTCATACAATCACTCACACACACACACACACACTGTCACTCACAGACACACGCTCAGTCACTCAGACACACACATGCACACACACTCATACAATCACACACACACGCTGTCACTCACAGACACACACGCTGTCACTCACAGACACACACGCTGTCACTCACAGACACACGCTGTCACTCACAGGCACTGTCACTCACAGACACACACGCTGTCACTCACAGACACACACAGAGACGCACACAGTCATTCATGGACACACACACTGTCACTCACAGACACACACAGACACACGCTCAGTCACTCACAGACACACACACACACACTGTCACTCACAGACACACACACAGACACACACACTGTCACTCACAGACACACACACACACACTGTCACTCACAGACACACACTCACAGACACACACTGTCACTCACAGACACACACACACAGACACACACACTGTCACTCACAGACACACACACACAGACACACATCACATACATTCACTAATAATTTTATAAATAAACATTTTCCACACAGCCTCCCTACCTGGAGAGCTGGTGTGGATGCTGGATCGGTCCCTGGGGTTGCTGGGCGGCGTGCGGCAGTGCTGTGATCAGGCGCGCGAGGGAGCTCTAATCTCCACCCTCTGCTCCCTCGCGGGCTGCCTACTGATGACGTCATGTTCCGGCTCCCGCGGCATCAGTAGGCAGCGCGCGAGGGAGCAGAGGGTGGAGATTAGAGCTCCCTCGCGCGCCTGATCACAGCACTGCCGCGCGCTGCGCCGGGGGTCAAGATGGTGGCCGGGCAGGAGGGAGAGCTTCCCTCCTGCCGGTCACTGAAATATTGCGCCCCCAGTGCCCGTGCGCCCTAAGGCGGCCGCCTGTGCCGCCTTATGGACGCGCCGGCCCTGGGTACACACATACAATTAGACTATAAACAGTGTCAGTTATAGACAATATTAAGCAATGGTAAAGTAATCAAATATAAAGGAACATAATACTCTGACCTGTGCCAGCAGGAGCAGCAAATAAAGAGGAAGAGATAAAGGGGGAGGGGCCTTTTATACCCTGTTGCAATATGATTTTTTCACTAAACTTTATTGTTAAATCTGTGCTGCTGGAGTTTAGTAAAGAGAGTTTAATGCAAAATATGAAGTCTCCTGTCGTGTTTTAAAACTAGGAATAACACCCTTTGTATATTCATGTCCCTGGTAGCAAGGTCAAGTGTGCCGCAGCCCGCAGAAGTGGAGGGGACAACTCATGTTGGGTCCCAGGAATGTGAGCTGGGCTATTGTTCAGGGTTACTCTTCGGGTCAGATAGGCCCAGTGTTTGTAGTAAATTTGGTAGGGATGTGCATGGGCAAAGAATTCAGTTTGGTTCGGCACTTCCAAAATTCAGAACTTCGGCAATTCTGCATTTAGGTTCGGCACTTCTGAAATTCGGGACTTCGGCAATTCGAGACTTCGGCACTTCGGCTCGGTTCAGCACTTCCAAAATTTTGGACTTCTTCAATTCAGGACTTTGGCACTTCAGAATTCAGAACTTCGGCAATTCCCTGGACGCTAACCCTACCCCTCCCCTACCCCTACCTCTACCCTAACCCTACAAATAACCACCACAACCACTTACACATCTAGGGTTAGGGGTAGGGGTAGAGTTAGGGTAAGGGGTAGGGTTAGATTCCTGTAATCATTCACGTAATTTTCCCTTTCTCTCTTGTTTTGCCACTTTTCAGTATTTTGTGTACAGTCCCGTCGTGTGACACCACCAGGAACCTGGGCGATCTCCAGTGATATTCTATTCCCACCGCTCTAAGCTGGCTGGTGACAGGATTCAGGTATCTTCACCTCTTTTGGTTGAAAGAGAGGTTGGAGCCTTCAAATGTTAACGACGTCTTGCCCTGTAATGTTGCCAGCAAGGTTCTTTTATAGCGTGAGGTGGAACAGCAAACAATGATGGCTCGTATCATGATAGCAGGAGCTTTGCCTGAGATTTGCAGTCAGTAGAATGTCTTTGCCTGACCTGTTGGTAGTACTGAAGCCACAAGTCTGAAGCCACTGAAGCCACCCAGGCTTGATTAGGTCAGGTATACCCCTTATTTTTAGGTGATTGTCATCAAAAGTTGTGTAGTGAAGTGAAAGAGCTTGTTGATTAGTTTGTAGGGTTAGAACAGAGTCCATTAGGGATGACAGGCCCTTCTTGAGTTCTGCAATGTCTTCCTCTGAGGCCTTTACTCTGTCTCTAACTGATTGTATATCAGCTTTTATGACTGCCATGTCAGCTGCCAAAAGGCTTTTGATTTCTGTGACCAGGTTGCGAAAGTAACGCTGTGTGACTGGGATTAACCCATCCGGATCCCCCACAGGGTGAGGTACCTGTTTTGAGTCAGGGTCTGAGAATGCATTGCCTTGTGTCCTGCCATCTCTGCCATCTTGGGATGTGGCTGCCACTGAAGCATGGACATCTCTGGACCCTGAAGATGGCTCCTGAGTGATCCTCTGGGTCCGTCGCCCATTGGTCGATGTCCAGATAGGTAGAGGAGCAATTGGGAAAGCCTCCATTCAAGAGTCTTCAAAAGGCCCGAGGCACCTGAGCAGTGCAGACAGGTCAAGGTGGCCCCAGACCTACGCTTCTGTCATTTCGCTTTGGTAGAGTGTAGAAACGGCATAGAATGCCTCTTTAGTGTTCACCTCTGTGATTGCCAGTGTTTATCCGGGTGGTGGGGGTTGAATCTTCCAAAAACAAGCTTTCATTTGGCTTTGTGATTGGAGCGGTGCGAGATGGCGTCTGCTCTGGTTCAAGGTTAGGCTCTGCCCCCATAAAAAATTTTTATCAATTAAAAACAAAACAAAAAAAACCCCTACAAAACCGACTATGAGAAGCCACTCTGGTCAAAGTATAGAACTTCCTCCCTATCTACTTCTCCCCTCAGGACATCTTGGCCGACCTCGACTCGGTATATTACTACCTCATACTAAGTTTCTTCCCAACTGCTTCTTCTTAGGCTAGAAGGCATGTGATGTGACATGAGTATGTTAACCTGGTTATCACCTGCATTAACATTGTTGCTAGGATTGGTGCTAAAAGCTCTGATTTGGTAGACACAATCCACAACTTCATATAACTCATAACTTGACAATACCTATAATAAGAGCGAACAATGTTTTGTTAAAAAAAAACAAAAAACAAAACAAAAAAACCCAACAAATTAGATATTTAGGCAAAACACTATCTGATCCTAAATAGCCCCCACTACCAATCGTAAATGAACCATGGGATGTCAGAGAGGCTTGGCATATGACTCTTCTTCTAAAACCGGTAAAAGACCCCACAAATTGCGGGAGCTACCGACCTATATCCTTATTAATATAGACCTAAAGATTTTCACCAAGATTCTGGCCAGCTTCCTTCACCCACTCCTATAGGGGCTAGTCCACTCTGATTAATCGGTGTTCGTTTCCAAAAGGGAGGCTAAACATAATACTACCTTGTTCATCTCTCGGAATTACATCGGACGCAGAACTTGCTGCTGTCCATCGATGCAGAAAAAGCATTCAACAGGGTGGACTGGTCCCTACTCATTAAAACTCTCAGAATGATGGAGTTTGGGACAAATTGGTTACTCTGGATGAAAGCACTGTACTCCTCCCCAATTGCAAAAATCTAGGTTAATGGTCAACTGTCCAAGCTGGTATGGATAGGAAATCCCTTATCATGGATCCATTTCTTCAGGGCATCCATTATAATCCTAATATTCACGGCTTTGTGACCCGCACAGCAGAATATATACTAGCTGCATTTGCGGATGACTTGCTCAATGCCTCCCCTTCGAGAAAAATCTCTATATACAGTAAACACTTGAACTTTCAAGTCAATTTTACCAAAAGTGAAATTCTCCCCTTACAGAGTGACCACAATATACGCCTGTAACGGATCCCCTGGCACCCCGACTGGGTACCTCCGTTGAAGGATGCTCCTAGCGCTTCCTGAGGACTCCAAGCACTGCAGCAGACACCACAACCACCGCAGACTCCGCAACCGCTGTAGCTGGAGTCTCGCCGTCTTCCTTCCACCACGGATCAGCTTCTGTCCTCCAGGACCGTGTGGGAAAGACCTCTTCCTTCCACCCTGTATGAACCTCCAGCATCCAGGACTGTGTGGTGAAGACCTCTCCTCCAAGGAGAGCGTGTCAGGAACAAGCTCTTAAAAGAGCTAAGTGATTCAAGCTCAGGGGAGTATGCATAGCAATCCCCAGTGTGATTATAACAGCTCCCTCCAATAACGAGACAAGGCTACATTTAGAGGGATCAAGAGGAACTGTCTGATGGTAGACTAGGGGCTTTAAAGCCAAATACATGAAAGAGTCATAGTCACAGGGGAGGAGGCTGGCAAGCAGGCCTCTCCAGGACCAAGTGGCGAAGGACACTTCGTCACATATCTCCCCTTCGGGGGGAAGACTAACCAGGCACCTGACTTTCTGTCGGTCAGTGCCTAAGTTAGTCGATTCACCCACTGACCATAAGCAAGTGCCAGAGTAGCCCACCCACAACAAACAGTTATTAGAGCAGCCCACCCACAGCAAACAGTGACTGCGCCTGGGTATTCCTCTGGGGTGATGGGGAAACACGCTGTGGGGACTTGAGGGGCAGAGGCCAGCGCTTCTGCTGGGAGGAGGGGGGTGCAGGCCAGTCCTGGGACACGGGGAGCGGTAGGGCAGAGGCCAGCGGCGGTCTGCCCTGATGCCAGCTCTTCTGCTGGTATAGCCCGCAGGACATCAGGCTCTGGACAAGGGACAAAGGGAGGGCAGAGGCCAACTGCACTCTGCCCAGCTGCCAGCTCTTCCGCTGGGGGGCTTGGGACATAGTCTGGCTCAGTAGCCAGGGGAACGTGGGGGTCAGTGGGGGTTAACATCTCCTCTGTTAACCCTGGGGCCAAGTTAGGAGTTAGCTGGGGAGGGGAAATCATGCTTACCCCCTCCTCCTGTTGTCCCTGTGAGAGTAGGTGGGGATCTGGACAGGCTGTCCAACATCCCTATGGGTCAGGCACAGAGACCACGGTCCCATCTGCGCGATCTAGAAGATTGGTTTCTCCCCTTGGTAGGGTAAGCTGCCGCTGGGGAGGGAGACCGACTGTCTCCACTCCCGTAACATTGTCCTGCTGCTGGGGAGAGAGACCAACTTTCTCTGCCCCCTGTAGGACACACTGCTGCTGGGAGGGAATGACAACACCTTTGGCCCCCTGGAATTCACACAGCCGCTGGGGAGGAAGGACGACACCTTCGGCTCCCTGGAACTCACACTGCCGCTGGGGAGGAAGGACGACACCTTCGGCTCCCTGTAACTCGCACTGCCGCTGGGGAGGAAGGACGACACCTTCGGCTCCCTGTAACTCACACTGCCGCTGGGGAGGAAGGACGACACCTTCAGCTCCCTGTAACTCACACTGCCGCTGGGGAGGAAGGATGAAACCTTCGGCTCCCAGGGATTTGCACTGCCGCTGGGGAGGAAGGGCGGCACCTTCGGCTCCCTGGAACTCACACTGCCGCTGGGGAGGAAGGACGACACCTTCGGCTCCCTGTAGGGCCAGTAGAGAGACCTCGGTCCCATCTCTACCTGCCATCTAGAGGTCATCCCAGGACCAGTCAATGAGGTCTGGTTCTGCTTGTCGGGTAGGTTGGGGCTGCACGAAGCTGAGCAGGTGTTGGTAGTCCTGCTCCAGCTCCCACTCCCTTGTTACCAGGTCGGTCATGTCTTTGCTCACCTCGCATTCGTCAACCCAGACATACATGCCCATCCGGTAGTCGTAGATGTCCCAAAACCTAGACCCCTCCGTGCAGCCAAGATCAATGTCATCCTCCAAGGCACCCCATGATAAACCCGGGCCATCATAATCATCCCCCTCCGGTAAGTCGTGCTCGGCCGTCCAGGGGGTAAGTCGAACGGTATGCCACCAGAGAGCCTGGTATGCTCTGTCTAGCCAGATCTCTCGCCATACCAGGGTCTCTAGTCTTGTCACCCACTCATCCAGGGGCTGCTCTCCCAATAGATACATCCGCATCGCCACACGCTTCTGTAGCCGCTGCTCATCACTGGGGAGACTCTCACCTCGCCGCCATTGGGCATCTTCCAGGGCATCATACCAGAGTTCCTTTCTGTCTGCATCCCTGTAGTCCATGGCCGCCTCCTCCTCCTCATCATCATGGAACGCTGTCCAAAAACTAGCCGATTCCATCCTGCTGTAGCCAGGGGCGCTGTATGGATAGTAGCGTTGCCCTCAATTTGTAACTCCAAATGTTACCAGTGTCTCCGAGCTGCTTTTCCTCACACTAGGACGCCATCCCACCGCTGCCACCACTGTAACCGATCCCCTGGCACCCCGACTGGGTACCTCCATTAAAGGATGCTCCTAGCACTTCCTGAGGACTCCAAGCACTGCAGCAGACACCACAACCACCGCAGACTCTGCAACCGCTGTAGCTGGAGTCTCGCCGTCTTCCTTCCACCACGGATCAGCTTCTGTCCTCCAGGACCGTGTGGGAAAGACCTCTTCCTTCCACCCTGTATGAACCTCCAGCATCCAGGACTGTGTGGTGAAGACCTCTCCTCCAAGGAGAGCATGTCAGGAACAAGCTCTTAAAAGAGCTAAGTGATTCAAGCTCAGGGGAGTATGCAGAGCATAACAATCCCCAGTGTGATCATAACAGCTCCCTCCAATAACGAGACAAGGCTACGTTTAGAGGGATCAAGAAGAACTGTCTGATGGTAGAATAGGTTTTTTAAAGCCAAATACATGAAAGAGTCATAGTCACAGGGGAGGAGGCTGGCAAGCAGGCCTCTCCAGGACCAAGTGGCGAAGGGCACTTCGTCACAACGCCTTACCCTTCGGAGACGTTTCCCCTTTCTGTTGACGGAAACCGCTGTCAAATACTTAGGAATCTTCCTTCCACGAGACCACACCAATCTTTTTGATCTAAACTTTCCACCCCTCCTACAATCTATCACAGCAGACTTTAAGGCATGGAATACACCAATATTAAGCTGGTTATGGCGGATCCACATACTTAAAATGAATACCCTCCTCAAAATCCTATACACTCTACAAACACTACCTGTCTCCCACCCGACACCCTTTTTAAACGGAGTGCATAGACTCTTCAGCTCCATCCTATGGGCACCCAGGCACCCCAGAATTTGTTCCAAGGTTCTAATGGGTCATAAATCACAAGGTGCACTAGGCCTCCACAATTTGGAAGCTTACTATCAAGTGGTAATCCTTACGAGAATATAAGAATGGGCAGGACCCAAGGGCAAATTCCACTGGTTGCAATTCGAGAGGCTGGGATTCCGAGTATCGCTACACACTATTCCATGGCAGGATAATGGAAGGGCAGTTCTGAATCCAGTATGTGCAAACCACCCCATCATTGTGCTGACCTTAACAACCTGGCACCAACTCAGACGCCTCCCAAGCAAAACATCCATCTACCCTACCCATTGAACTACAACCCACAGGTCTACTGGTTGGAGTGTCTACCACATTCCTGTTAACGAATGATTCCTGG